TGTATTTCATTCTTTTCCGTCAAAATGGATAATAATATTTATATAAAAAAAATGTCAATATTTTTTTCCGCCAACTGGGATATTTTATCTGCCAAAAACGTCTGATAAAAAAAACCCCAAAAAAACACCTTAGGCTACATCAATTTAATTTATTATATAGGCCTATTATAAAACAAATTACCCGTACCGATATATACAATATACAACAACATACATGGGGATTGGGTGGTCTAGTGGTTTAACACGTGCGCGTGAAATCACAAGCTCTGATATTGATTCAAGTGGTGTGGTTTCGATTCCCCTCTTAAACATGACAAGGGAGTAGGGTCGCTTGTCCAACCTTGTGGGTTTTCTCCGAATACGTGCAAACGAATTATTGAAATGATTTAGTTTGCAACGAGTGGATGTTAAGCCAGTCTGGAGGTCGGGTGTTCGATCCCTGCATTGGTCGAGAAAGTTCATCCAGTTGCATTTTGTTTGGTGTGCGTGTTGGCACCTTCTTACTAACATCAATAAATAAAAAAATATGTCGACAAGACGGTATACAAGCCAAAATGCAAGTCGAAAAAAAAATTGGGAAAAAACGAGGGGCGCTATTATCGCTGTGTGTTATTTCTTAATTTCCTATTTTCGAGTTGATTTTGGCATGTATAGCGTGTTGTCGCCTCACATTTTGTCGTAACTTCTACTTTTCGACTTTTCGACTTTCATGTTTTGAAGAGGCGAAAAGTAGAAATTATGAATGGTAGTTATAGGCTTCCATAGTCGACAAACACGTCTCCCGATCATGTCCTAGACATGCTCTACAGGGGAAAAATCAGGGCTCATGGCTGGCCAAGGCATATGGACAATATGGTGACGCTGGAGGTAGTCATTAACGACACGAGCGCGGTGGGCACGGGCATTATCATCTTGAAAGATGAAACGTCGACCTGCACGTTGAGCAAAGGGCAGAACTATCGGTGCCAGGATGTGATCACGGTAGTACACACCAGTGACCCTTCCTTGAACAATATGCAAGTCCGTTCTGCCAGTCAAGGTGATTCTTCCCCGCGCCATAACAGACCCACTCCCGAATCTGCCATGCTGTCTGACGTTAACGTTAGCAGGACTCTTATTTACACGCCTCCAAACGCGAGCACGCCAATCGGTGAAATCCAGAATAAATCTGGACTCATCTGAAAACATTACACGCGCCCATCAACGATTACCCAAATGTCTACGCTGATTATACCATTGACGCCTGTTTGTCATGTGCTGGTTAGTTAATGGAGGCACAACACGCGGTCGTCACGCATGCTAATGGGCTGCATGTAGCCGATTTCTAATCGTTTGGGGTGTAACTCGAATTCCTGTAATTTGATACAAGTTTACAGAAAGCTGATTGGCCGTTTGTCCTCGATTTCGCAGGACCTGTGTACGAATGTATCGATCCTGGGCTTGTGTAGTGGATCTAGAACGACTAGAACGAGGTCTATCATCAACATTGTGTGTTTGTTGGTACCGTTTCCACAGTCTGCTGATCACAGACTGTGACACATTAAGCATGTTGCCTACTGCTCGCTGTGTAGAACCCATTTGAAGCATGCCAATAGCACGTAGACGTTCATCATGGTGAAGACGTCCCATTGCAAATTAAACGTAACACACTAAAGCAAAGATACGCTAAACAGTAAATCTTATGCATGTACCGATAGGAAAGCAAACATGGATTGAAGAAAACCACCACGCGGCAGTTGCCATCAACCCTTCCTTGAAGTGTCAAATTTGACAATGAACCCCTCCCACGTGTATGGTGCTATTGCGTGTCGCACATGCAGCTCAGTGGTTCTGTTGGGGCGATAAGTTCTTCATCTGTGAACATGCTTTAAATTTGAGACTGAATATATTAGAATATCATATGAGCCAGAATATGTGCCAGATTACAGAGTTTGTGTCAATCTAGAGAAGGTATCTAGCAAGGAGCAACCTTGGGCTCTCACCTCCATCTGCTGTCATACTGGTTTCAACGATGTCTGAACAGGCAAAGGATTCCAGAAGTTGTTCAAATTGGGACACAAGGTCATCCTGGCATGCCAAGGGTTCGGTACAATTTCCAAAAACTTTAAACACTCTTGGTTAGTAAAAGTAAGAGTTAAAATTGAGATTAATTCAAAAATTGAAAATAAATTAAATCATAGATCATTATATTAATTTATACTTAATTTGAAAAAAAAAAAAATTTTTTTAAATATACATTTCAGTTCAGTTATGGGTAAATGTCATTATATTGAGGAAAATGTTTGAGGCTGTTATTATGTTTCGCTCAGTTATAAAAATCATTTGCATCCAAGTACATGTACTTCAGAGATTGTGACTTTAGAATGACTTAATATATAATCACGAGAACTTACAAGTCGCACATGTATGGTGAAGCTTGTGAGTTTAAATCCCCATCGATACATCGTTTCCAGGTATCAAAACAAGCCTCGTCCGTCACTGTAACATTGATATAAATAATCATGATTACGTTTACAAAGAATTTACCCAGAGCAATTAAACACATCCTTTTAAATCAAAATTTGACTTTTCATGACAGAAATATAATTTGTGTATTGCAGAATTGTCTAATGGTGGTAAACTGGTGCCACAGAAAGAGTGACAGTGTAGCACCAAAACACACAGAGACAATCCAGATCTTTCAATATGGTGTTCCTAAAATGAAAATGGCAATGTAGCTTAGTAAGTTGTCCAATTATTTTATGGATGAAAACTGTTAGTCCGATTTCTATGCTTTATGTATATATTCCTAGTGGATTTGCGTCCGAAGGTAAGTAACCCCCACCTGAAAGCATCTAAGACAAACAGCTTTCTCCTTGATTATAAAAAAGCTTTAAAAAAATAACTGCCAAAAGAGGAAAAAATATTCCAAAAAAAATTATAAAACAAAACAAACAAATTAGTATCTTATTTGAGCCAGAACCGCTAATATTAAACGGATATTTGTAAGTAAATAATGAATATGAAAATAAATAAAACAAGCGGTTGCCATGCATAATATGCCCACATTTTGCAAGAGATGGACAGAGAACGAGCTAAAAAAAACAGCGGTTGCCATACAAGAAAGGCCCACATTTTGCTAGAGATGGATAGAGAACAAGCTAATAAAAAACAGCGATTATTCGTACAATCAGGGGCCATAATCCAGGAAGTTATGGTCTGAAATGCGCGAATATCGAAAGGAACCGAGACCTTTGGGTTATAAACATACATGTTTACATACATATAAAATCACGGTTTTAGCTTGTGAATACTCTAAGAGGTCACAATTTTTATCCGATTTTTATAAAACTTGAAATGTATTTTTATTACCCAAAGATCTTGGGTCCTTTCGATATTCGCACATATTGGACCGTAACTTCTTGGATTATGGCACTTGATTTACGAAAAATCGTGGTTTTAGCTTGTGGACCTTCTAGATGCCACAATTTTTATCCGTTTTAAAAAAAACGTTCTATTATATCACCGTTACACCATAATAATATGTGAGTCCAAATTTCGTGAAAATCGGACTAAAACTGCTGAACAAAATGGCCGCCCCTCGTACGCAAATAGTGTAAATATATGGTATATCAAGGTTGTGAACTCTCTAGAGGCCAAAGTTTTGATTCGATTTTGATGAAACTTTATATTATTGTTTATATCAAAAATCCTGGATTATCGCCCCTGATTGTTCGAAAAAAATCTCATTTTTAGCTTGTGGACCCACTAGAAGTCACAATTTGTATTCAATTTTTAATATATATCGGTTACACATCAATGAAGATTGAGTTCGAATTTCTTAAATATCTGACCCAAACTGCCGGACATAATGACCGCTCCTTGTACCCAAATAGTGCAAAAGTATGTAATACCAAGGTTGTGGTCACTCTAGAAGTCACAAATTTTATCTCATTTTTATGAAACTCGAAATGTACGATTATAATCCAAAAATCTTGGTTCCTTTCGATATTTGCGCATATCGGACCATAAATTCCTGGATCATGACCCCTGATTGTACGAAAAATCATATTTTAGCTTGTGGGTGCTCTAGAGGTCACACTTTTTATCCGATTTTTAAAAAAAAAACGTTTAAATGTATCACCGTTACACCCTAATGACGGTTGAGTTTGAATTTCGTGAAAATCGGGCCGAAAGTGCCTGACAAAATGGCCGCTCCTTGAACACAAATAGTGTAGTATGTAATACCAAGTTTGTGGACCTTCTATAAGTCACAATTGTTAATAATTGTTATCCGATTTTAATGAAAATTAAAATATATCTTTATATCCCAAATATCCCAGTTCCTTTCGATATTCGCGCATTTCAGACCATAACCTCCTGGATTATGGCCCCTGATTGTACAAAAAATCTTCTTTTTTTAGCCATCTGTTGCAAAATGTAGGCGTATCTTGCCTGGCAACCGCTGTTTAGTACAATCAGGGGCCATAATCTATGCAGTTTCGGTACCAAGATATGTCAATACTTTTTTCCGGTAGACGTCGGGCCTTGGCCTTATACTCCGCATCGACTTATATATGGATGAAGCGCTAAAAAAAAGAATAGAAAGTAACAACTGGGCTTTATTTTATTTAATACTGCAAATAAAGTGAAAAGGATATTGGTGTGAATATATTCTAGAATGGGGAGTCGCAGTGACTCAATAATTAGGGCACTTGCTCAATAATCAGGAGGTCATTGGGTTCGACCCCTGTGAGGGCAATGGAAGTTCCCCACGATGATTTCCAGTATAGATTACCCTTGTCAGTGGAGCAGGATGAAGAATCTGGCAAGGAACAGTGTCTACAGATGTAATGAAAAACGGAGATCTGATGTATAGATTGGCAAGCACGTAAAAGAATTAACCCTTGGCAGTTTGTTTGATAGCCGTAGTAGCCTATGATTTTTGACGTCGTTGGTTTATAAAAATCATTAACAATATCGTTACTTTAAATGGATATGTAAATAATCAAGTTACATACCTTGTGCTGTTACTGGCAAGATACAGATAATCGTCACTAGTAGGACTGGGTAGACCAGTTTACCTGACATGGTAGATATCTTTATCCACCTGAAAATATAATGGATTAACGATTATGCTTTGTTTGTCGTATCATATGATACAACTTGTCCAATTATTTATAAGCATATTGATCACGTTATAGTCACCAGAACCGGAACTAGGGAGGGCAAAGTGGGACGAATGTGTCGGGCCACTTACTTCCACACACACATGTTGGGTTGTGTACAAGATCAACAGTTCCATTTGATGACCCGAGAGATTCTAATTAGCGTTTCACATTATTATTCGGATTATTGTTATTAGGCTTTCAGACTTTTGTCTGAAAGCCTATTGTGATTACTAAGATCATTATTAGGGGTTTACACTGCGTAGTTTGTGTGAAACACTATTGTTTTGTTAAAATTATTAGGGTTTCACACTGCGTAGCTTGTGTGAAACACTATTGTTTTTGTTCAGATTATTAGGGTTTCACACTGCGTAGCTTGTGTGAAACACTATTGTTTTTGTTAAAATTATTAGGGTTTCACACTGCGTAGCTTGTGTGAAACACTATTGTTTTTGTTAAAATTATTATTCTTATTATTATTATTCTTCTTTTGTTTTGAGTAGATCTCAGCAACTGATTGTCGGATCGTTACGATTTCTTCGGTTTTATCGGAAAAGTGGGTGTGACTTAGAGGATAAAGCTATTTTGAACGTTCTGCGACAATGCGAAATGTCCGAAATCACCGAAGCTATCGTTTTTAGAAATATTGCAGTAATTTTAACAATAATCATTGGATTTTAACTTTCGATGCATTTTGGCATAGCCGGAGACGGGGCACATAGCTACGCTACTTTTGATTTTTGATTTTCGGCAAATCTTCGCAGATATTAGGCGCTAAATTTAGAAAATTTAAATTTTTACAAAAAACTTTTTTATTTATGAATATTTTTTAATCGTGTTTTACACAAATATAACGAGTCCTCTGACTTGGGCAAAAATGTGAACATTTTTTGTCTCGGTAATTTTCCTTGGCCCCCATTGGCTAATTCAGTTTTTCAGTCCTAGATTAATTATTTATTGTTCGATTTGTATAAAACAAAGTTCATATGCCCCGTTGTCTCAATTGTCATTTTTTTTGTTACCAATAGTGTTATCTGTCGGCACCGGAAGTGGCGTAAATTGACAAAAAACTACAATTTTGACAGTTAGGTACCATTTTTCGAAAGCAAATATTATTTTTTTCAAATCTGGTATAACTGAAATTGTGCGCCCTTTAAAGGCGCACAAAATGTTGGGACCATTTTTTTTAATTTCGATTCCGTTTTCGGGCTATTTCGATTAAAAGGTGAAAAAAGGTGTAAAATTAAGCTATTTACAACCCATCCAGCGTTTTCATATTTTAAAATATTACTTCGTAACTTTCATAAACTCGTAGCAATAATCTATACGGAGAGAATGTATGTGAAAATTAATTTGTAATATGCGCAGTTGCCGAGAAATGGGCAATTTTGCATGAGTCACTTTTTACGCTAGTTTGCCTGTAAAAGAGTCAATTATTATTCGATTTTCATAAAAGTGACACCATTTGATGTGTAATGTCAATTTTAACTAGGTCAAACCAATTTAACATTTTCAATATCACCGGAAATGACGTAATTTGGGCAAAAATTGTATTTATAGCCTTCGAAACCAGTAATTTATTCAAATGAGTCATATTTGTTATTTGTTTAAAATTTTGATATTTGATTCAAATCAACTAATACAATGAACCCTTACGATCATATAGATATCACAAAATGGTTTCTAACTTGTTCAGTTGCGGAGAAATAGGCAATTTTCAACAGGTCACTTTTTAAGGTTTTTTTGTCAATAAAAGTGTCAATTATTATTCGATTTTCATGAAATTTTCACTGTGTGATACATAATGCCATTTACGATATCATACAAGTAATTTAAGATTTTCATTATCACCGGAAGTAACGTCATTTTGGCAAAAACTGTATTTTTAGCCTTCAAAACAGATATTTTATTCAAATGAATCAGATTTGTAATGTTTTTAAAATTATGATATTTGATTCCAATCAACAAATAGAATGAACTCATTCGATCATACAGATACCTCAAAATGGTTTCTAACTTGTACGGTTGCAGAGAAATAGGCGATTTTCTACAAGTCATTTTTCAAGGTTTTTGGTCTATAAAGGTGGCAATTATTATAGGATTTACATAAAATTTTCAACATGTGATGATGCTAATTCTGATTTCATAAACCAATTTAACATTTTCATTATCACCGGAAGTAATGTAATTTTGACAGGATCACTGACATGTAGCAAATGAATTGATTGCTGGATTTGGTTGTTTCTGCGTCCATTTTATTTCATGTGTGCAATGCTTATGTGGAAACCTGTTTAACGGTTTCATTGGTACCGGAAGTGACATAAGTTCAAGGGTAACGTGGCACCGGTGAAACCCGTCATTACTGCTTCGCAGTTCTAGTTCTTATTATTATTCTTCTTATTATTATTTTTTTTTTTCCAATTTGCTTATATCTCAGCAACTTCTTGTCGGATCGATACAATGTCTTCAGTTTTACTGAGAAAGTGGGTGTGACTTAGAGATTAAAGCTATTCCCGGCATTCTGCGACATTGCGAAATGTCCGAAATCACCGAAAATGTCGTTTTTTGAAATATTGCCGTAATATAAACAATAATCATTGGATTTTAGCATATGATGCATTTTGACATAGCCAGAAACAGGGGACATAGCTATGTTACTTTTGATTTTTGATTTTCGACAAATCTTGGAAGATATTAGGCGCCAAATTTTGAAAATTTAAATTTTTACAAAAAACTTTTTTATTTATTAATATTTTTAAATGACATTTTAACCAAGGTTAAAGAGTCATCTGATTTGAACAAAAATGTCAACATTTTTTGTTTCCGTAATTTTCCTTGGCCGCCATTGGCTAATTCAGTTTTTCAGTCCTACATTAATTATTTATTGTTCGATTTGTATAAAACCTAGTTCATATGTTCCGTGGTTCAAAATGTCATTTTTTTTGTTACCGGTAAAGTTTCCTGTCGGAACCGGAAGACGCGTAAATTTAGCAAAAACTACAATATTGACAGTTCGGTACCATTTTTTGAAAGCAAATATTATTTTTTACAAATCTGATATTATCCAAAAGATGCGCACTGTTAAGGTGCACAAAATCTCGGACTCAGTTTTTTTAATTTCGATTTCGTTTTCGGGCCATTTCGATTAAAAGGTAAAAAAAGGGGTAAAAATAAGCTATTTACAACCCATCCAGCGCCTTCATATATTAAAATATTTCTTTGATACGTTCATAAACTTGTAGAAATAACCCATACGAAGAGAATGTATGTGAAAAATAGTTTGTAATATGAGCAGTTGCCGAGAAATGGGCAATTTTGCATGAGTCACTTTTTACGCTAGTTTGCCTGTAAAAGAGTCAATCATTACTGGATTTTCATAAAAGTTACACCATTTGGTGCGTAATGTCAATTTTAACTAGGTCAAACCAATTCAACATTACCAATATCACCGGAAATTACGTAATTTGGGCAAAAACCGTATTTATAGCCTTCGAAACAAATAATTTATTCAAATGAGTTGTATTTGTTATTCGTTTAAAATTTTGATATTTGATTCCAATCAACTAATAGAATGAACCCATACGATCATATAGATATCACAAATTCCTTTCTAACTTGGTAAGTTGCGGAGAAATAGACGATTTTGAACAGGTCACTTTTCAAGGTTTTTGGACCAAACAACTGTCAATTATTATTCGATTTTCATAAAATTTTCACTGTTTGATACCTTTTACCAATTATGATTTCATACAAGTAATTTCAGATTTTCATTATCACCGGAAGTAACGTCAATTTGGCAAAAACTGTTTTTGTAGCCTTCAAAACAGATATTTTGGTCAAATGAGTCTGATTTGTAATGTTTTTACAATTATGATTTTTGATTCCGCTCAACAAATATATTGAACACATATGATCATACAGATACCGCAAAATGGTTTCTAACTTGTACGGTTGTAGAGAAATAGACGATTTTCTACAAGTCACTTTTCAAGGTTTTGGGTCTTTGCCATTTCTGATTTTAAAAAACTAATTTATCTTTATCATTATCACTGCATATAATGTAATTTCGTCAGGATCACTAAATGTATAAAATGAATTGATTACCAAAAGATGTTGGTTCCTGTGGTAATTAGCTCATATCAGATTGTTACTTCCTGAATTATATTATTGTATGAAAAAACATTCTTGTTTAACTTTCTTCTCGATCCATCTCTTGCAAATTGTGTTTGTTTTTCTTTCCTCCAATTTAAATGGCTGATATTTACCATATTTGTTGGAAAGATTTATAAAAACCTTCAGAACCATTTGTAGGCTATGGTCTGGTATCTTAAAGTTATTATCTGATGGTGTTGATACCCGTCAGTCATTATGTACATGTATGCCTTAGTTTAGTACGTTTTTCACATTTGGCCAAAATAGGGGAAAGAATGAAAGAAAGTGGTATTATATTGGTTTTATGTATTAATCAATGCGGAATTTTTAAAGGGCAGATTAACGCGTTTGTCTTTATTCACACGGGGAGCGTACATGTAATTTGTTGATGCCAATTCCATAATATTATTGATACAGTGCGCTTTGGTCGTGCGTATTGTTCTCCCAAGCAGAGTTGTCTTCCCTTGCAGATCACACCGGCGCTGGATGGATAGCGAGATGCGTGCGCATAAGGACCTGAAAAGACGCCATTTTGATTTGAGTTGGTAAGTAAGTACTGTACTGTATTAATTCGTTGGACGTTTTTTTCTTCTTTTGTTTTGAGTAGATCTTAGCAACTGATTGTCGGATCGTTACGATTTCTTCGGTTTTATCGGAAAAGTGGGTGTGACTTAGAGGATAAAGCTATTTTGAACGTTCTGCGACAATGCGAAATGTCCGAAATCACCGAAGCTATCGTTTTTAGAAATATTGCAGTAATTTTAACAATAATCATTGGATTTTAACTTTC